TTTTTCCAGGTTACAAACTTTTTAACACTGTCTGGCTCATATCCACACATTCTGTATAATTCTGTATAATGTATTTGCATAACGCTGAGCCTGGCTTATATTCTCAATGCATCCTTTTTAATTTTTCAGTATAGAAATGCTCCAGCAAATATTTTAGTCTCCATTAACTGCTGGAAAATGCTTAACAATGCTAAAAGTTTGGATTTTTAATAAATAATTACATTTTTTTGGTCTTTGTAAAACTGTTTTCAGTTAAAGTTAGATTCAAATCAGATTAAACTCAAAGTAATAGTTGGACACCTGCTCTGTCTAACACCTTTTTTAAACTATTTTATTTATTTTGTTCATAGCGAGTGAGTGTTGCTTGTGTCCTGCTTGTGCTACACGTTGCGTAGCTACCAGCAGCAGCATGTTATCAGTAGTGATAGTGCACAAGATGAAGATAGCATCATGATGTCTGCTACCTGTGAGAAAGAGAACTGATTCTCTCTGTGTCGTGGAAAAACAATGAGTTTATTTTGTCCAATTCTTGAAAAATGTTGAGTTGTTCGTCCAAGTCCAGAGTTTAGCTCATACTCGTATTCAGGAGCCAAAACACAGCTTATACTGATGTTTTAATAGCTGTTAATTAAATCATTTTACTGGGGTGGCTGAGTTGCAACGCTACCACTGACTGGTCCAATGCATGATGGTCTCGGTCAATAGATGGTTCGTAAAACTTCTGTAGGGAGAGATTTTGTAGTCTATTAAACAGTGGACGTATTTCCAGGAGCCTGACTCGCTCTGTGCATGAGTAAAGGTTCATTCGTTCGTAGCCTAACAAGTGTCCCAAATTCTTTGTGTGCTTCTTTTGTGAGGAAACCAAACACAATATTACATTTACGGTAGCTGTGGAAACCAGTGTTTCCACCATGCTGCATATGCATTAGTTACACGAAGAAGTCATGTGTTTATGATTTTTGTAAAAGTGCCAAAGTGATTCTGACTCACCGGCTTTGCCTTCCCAGGCAAGCCCCAGCACTCCACTGTAGTCTCTGTCAGTGAGCAGGTAGGACAGGCAGAAGTTGCTCCAGTTGTTCTCCGAGTACAGACTTAGCAGCTTCTCGGGGCCGATGTACAGAGGAGACAGTGGGTCATTTTTATCCTCTTCTGTCATCACCTGGAGACAGTCAGACAAACACAGGAACACTCAAACACGCCACAGTTCTCAGGTCCTGTATTTCAGCTTATTTTGCTATATCACTCACTTCCACTCCCAGAAGAAGACACATGGGCACCATCACCGACTGATGCATGAACCCACGTATCTCAATAAAAAGCTTGTTCATGACATGATTTTGAATGTGTAAAAGCTTCACTGTGTGAAAGGTTTGTGGAGTTTGTGGCCTGTTCTGAAGCTTACTCTGAGGGACTTGACTTGAAAGTTGATCAACTGGATTCCACTGAAGTCCACCTTGTCGTAGATGTCATTCACAGCCCGGATGTACGAGGCGACCTGAGAAACCACAGTTAATGCGAGAACAACAGGAATCTCTCTGAAGTTAAGCTAAAAAATTAGCTA